TGCCTTGATGATCACAGCTCAGATATCGGGCTATGAAGTCCAGAGAATCTTTGTCGACACAGGGAGCTCGGTGAATGTGATTTTTTTCGATTGTCTTAAACGGATGGAACTTAACATTGAACTCTCACCTCTCCACACTTCACTTTTTGGATTTAATGGCTCGGAAGTTGCACCCCTAGGGGAAACCACTCTCGCTGTCGTCCTCGGGGAAGGCGACTTAAGGAAGGTGAAATTGGTGTAATTTGTCGTGGTCGACGTCGAGTCGGCTTATAATGTGATTCTGGGAAGGCCAGCACTCAACACATTTCAAGCAGTAGTGTCAACCTATCATATGAAGCTAAAGTTCCCCGTCAGGGATAAGGTAGGGGAGGCCCGAGGGGACCAGAGGCTGTCAAGAACCTGTTATCAGATTGCAGTAAGGACAAACCAACGAACGGAGATGAAAGAAGGAAAAAAGTCGGGGTCGAATGAAAAAAGACGAAGGGAGAGTGATCTCGAGCCACATGGGGAATTAATGGAAATTCAAATCGGGGAGAGAGAGGAGCAAACTACGAAAATAGGGCGAGAATTGGAAGAAGAGTTACATCGACAATTGGTGGGACTGTTGAAAGAATTCAGGGACATATTCGCTTTTTCCCCTGAAGAGCTAACAGGAATCGATCCCGATGTCATGGAGCACAAGCTTAATGTCGACCCCCTAAAAAAGCCCGTGAAGCAACGGCTTAGACACCATGGCGCAGAAATTGACAAAGCCATAGAAGTCGAGGTGGACAAATTGCTGAAAGCCAAACATATCAAAGAAATTCAATTCCCATAATGGATATCAAACACGGTGATGGTGAGGAAAGCACTAAATAAGTGGCGTATGTGTATTGACTTTTGGGATTTAAATTTAGCTTGCCCGAAGGACCACTACCCCCTGCCGAGAATCGACCAGCTGGTCGACTCCACTGCTGGCTGTCAATTGCTTAGCATGATGGACGCGTCCCAGGGGTACCACCAAATTCCCTTGGCTCCTGAGGATCAAAGCAAAGTTAGTTTCGTGACGAGCAAAGGGACATATTGTTATGTCGTTATGCCTTTCGGACTTAAGAACGCAGGGGCAACATACCAAAGGTTGATGAATCGAATGTTCAAATCGCAGATCGGGTGAAATATGGAAGTTTACATGGACGATATCTTGGTGAAAAGTAGGTCCTCGATCTCGCATGTAGAGGACTTAAGGGAAGCGTTTACGATACTGAGAACATTTGGAATGAAGCTGAACCCGAGTAAATGTGCCTTTGGAGTGAGGGCAGGACGATTCCTGGGCTATATCGTAACTGAAAGAGGCATCGAAGTGAATAAGGACAAAGTGTAAGACATACTCGACATGACCCCACCAAAGAATGTTAGAGAAGTGCAAGTCCTGACAGGTCGAATTGCAGGCCTAAGTCGACTCATAGCCCGGGCGACGGAAAGGAGCTTCCCCTTCTTCAAGTTACTCAAGAAAAAAGCTTTCCAGTCGGGTGATGAGGCTCAGATGGCATTTGAAAAGCTGAAGGAGTTTTTGAGCGAGCTACCATTGTTAACAAAGCCAGAGCCGGGCGACGAGTTGGTGCTCTATATCTCGGTGGGAATCTTTTCTCTGAGTTCTGTGTTACTGCGAGAAGCTGAAGGGGCTCAACAGCCGATCTATTATACAAGCCGAGTGCTCTAGGGCGCAGAAGCAAGATATTCCGAAGTCGAGAAGGCCGCATTAACATTGGTACTCATAGGCAGAAAATTGAGGCCGTATTTCCTGAACCATGTGATAATAGTAAGGACAAATTTCCAGCTCGGTGAGACATTGGGTCGATCTACCGTGTTGGGTCGACTCATAAAATGGGCAGTCGAACTCAGCAAATTTTCCATCAAATACGAACCTCAACGAGCTATAAAGGCCCAAGCTCTAGCCGACTTTATTCAAGAAGGGGCCAAAGGAGAAAGCAAGAAATGGATGATGCACGTCGACGGGTCCTCGTCAGCCAAGGGATCTGGTCTGGGAGTAACCCTAGTATCCCCCGAAGGCGAATAGCTCAACTTCGCCATCAGAATGGGGTTTAAAGCATCCAACAACGAAGCAGAATACAAGGCCCTAATTAAGGGAATCCAACTGGCAATCGCGGGCGGAGCGACAGAAATCATGTCACATTCTGACTCACAACTAGTAGTGGGGCAAGTATTGGGGAATTGCGAGATTAAAGAGGATCGGATGATAAAGTATGTCGAAGAAATTTAGAGCCTAGTACGAGGCTTGGACAGCTTTGAGCTAACGCAAGTACCTCGAGAAGAGAATAAGCGGGCCGACTGGCTCGCGAGAATTGCAAGCTCGAACGAAGGAAAAATGGGGAATAATATTACCACACTACACTTGGAAGGAAGTGTCCTGAGTGAGACAATGGAGGTTGATGAAAACCAAGATTGGCGAAAAGCAATTCGCGAGCTGTTACAAAGTCGAGTGCCAGAAGGAGATAAACAGGAGGCTGAGAAAGCAGCCCGATATTTGAGTAAATATTTTGAGATCGAAGGAGTCTTGTATAAGAAGTCGATGGTCGGGCCCCACCTGCGATGCGTTTCTGAGAGAGAAGGGGACCATGTCTTGAAGGAAATCCATGAACGATGCTGCGGAGCACGTATAGGATCGCGAGCTCTAGCTGGTAAAGCCCTTCGGGCAGGCTATTATTGGCCCAATATCTGAAAAACAGCCGAACGATTAGTACAAGGATGCGATAGATGCCAGCGCCATGGTCAAATCCCCTACGTTCCAGCCGAAACAATGACGACGATCAGCTGCCTGATCCCTTTTGCTCAATGGGGAATCGACTTGGTAGGCCCGTTGCCAATGGGAACGGGGCAGCGAAAATTTATGGTGGTTGTCGTCGACTACTTTAGCAAAAGGGTAGAAGTAGAACCTCTGGCAAAAATCACTGAAGACAAAATGATACATTTCCTGTTCAATAATATCTGCTGTAGATTTGGGATTTCAAAGATCTTGATTTCAGATAATGGGACGCAATTTTAAGGAAAGCGGATCCAGGCTTGGTGTGTCGACATGGGAATCAAACAGCGATTCGACTCAGTTGCACACCCTCAGGCGAACGGCCAAGTTGAAGTGACAAACAGAACCATCTTGCAAGGTCTGAAAAAAAGACTGGAGAAAGCATCTGGTGCCTGCTCGTCAACGGTCCTATGGGCCTATAGGACGACCCCGAGAAGTTCAACAGGGCAATCACCATTTCACATGGTTTATGGAATGGACGCCCTATTGCCCATCGAGGTTGGATTGGAATCTCACAGGTCGACATTCTATGAGGAAAGGACCAATGAAGCCTGGCTGCGGTCCGTAGAATACAAGCACAAAATGTGGGCAGCCTTTGACAAGAAAGTCCGCACCAGGCGATTTCAAGTGGGAGACCTTGTCCTCAAGTGAGCGGATGCCCTTAAACATGTCGGGAAGCTGGAAGCCAACTGAGAAGGACCTTACACCATCACCAAAGTACTCGAAAGAGGCGCATACGAACTCGAAGATGGCGAAGGAAGACAGCTGCCGCGATCCTGGCACGTGATTCATATAAAACGCTTTTATGCTTAAGAATTTCATACTCTCTTTGTACTGAACCATGGCTAATCAAATTCAGTAATGCAATGACTCTCAATTTTATATTTAAGATTGGGATTTTTATATTTCCGGGTCGATTTTATTATAAATAGAAAAATCAAGTCATGTAGAATAACTAAAAAGTTGTATGCCTCAAGCGAAATCTCGGCAAGGCTATAAAGCCCACGACTATAAAAGTCGACTCAAACAACAAAAGTTGTATGCCTCGAGCGAAATCTCGGCAAGGCTATAAAGCCCGCGACTATAAAAGTCGACTCAAACAACAAAAGTTGTATGCCTCGAGCGAATTCTCGGCAAGGCTATAAAGCCCGCGACTATAAAAGTCGACTCAAACAACAAAAGTTGTATACCTCAAGCGAAATCTCGGCAAGGCTATAAAGCCATCGACTATAAAAGTCGAATCAAACAACAAAAGTTGTATGCCTCGAGCGAAATCTCGGCAAGGCTATAAATCCCGCGACTATAACAGTTGACTCAAACAACAAAAGTTGTATGCCTCGAGCGAAATCTCGGCAAGGCTATAAAGCCCGCGACTATAAAAGTCGACTCAAACAACAAAAGTTGTATGCCTCGAGCGAAATCTCGGCAAGGCTATAAAGCCCACGACTATAAAAGTCGACTAAAGACAACTAAAAACTTGTATGCCTCGAGCGAAATCTCGGAAAGGCTATAAAGCCCGCGACTATAAATGTCGACTCAAACAACAAAAGTTGTATGCCGCGAGCGAAATCTCGGCAAGGCTATAAAGCCCACGACTATAAAAGTTGACTAAAGACAACTAAAAACTTGTATGCCTCGAGCGAAATCTCGGCAGGGCTATAAAACCCGCGACTATAAAAGTCAGCTCAAACAACAAGTTGTCTCAAATATAACCCGCCTACGGCTGCAAAAGCACTTTAACTACAAAATGTGCAAGCAAATGAAATGTCGACAAATCTACAATCGCGTAGTTACAAGTAAAAACTCGAGGAATGCATGAACACAACGTTGCAGGAACGTAACGACTTAGGCAAAGATAAAATAAGGAGTAATATTTAAAATAGATTTATTACAAGAGTTGTCTCAACCTTTACAAATTGGAAAATCAGATTGACCAGAACAGAATAAGAATAAACGACAAATAGAAGGCAATAAGCCTCGAAAGTACAACTAAGATATGACATCTTCGTCGCTCCCCTCGAGGATGGTCACGACCTGATCATCATGGCTGGGCCCGACAGGATGGATGGGGGAAGGTAGGGGAGCATCCAGTTGATAGGTGAGCTTAGCCTCTCGAACAACCTTCGCCTCGAGACCCGTCCACCAGGGGTAGTCGTCCGGAAGGGACGGATCGCCTTCATAACCGTCGGAGTCGGGAAGAGCACACCTCATTCCTCCCGATCGAGTTTCCCAGCAAACTCAGATCCTGCCACCACAGCCTCCTAAGCGTCGAAGGCATAATCAAAATATTGAACGGCGGCAGGGCAGAGCTTGTCGAGGAACTCAGGAGAATTGCAGAAAGCCTTGACGACTTCCTTACGGTAGGCACGGACAAAGGCAGCGCCTATGCCAGTCCTTAAGAACGACTTTCGGCCCTGAACAATGCCGATGTCTACCTCATACATGTTCGCCTCCTGAGCCTTCTCTAGATCGGCTTGGAACTTCTCGTTGTCATGCAGGGCAACGGCTTTGTCGACTTTCAACTTGTCGACCAAGGCTTTTGACCCCTCCAGCTCTTTCTTTAACTGGGCAATCTCCCTGAGCTGCGCCTCGCATTTGTCCTCGAGGGCCTTAGTGGAGGAAGAGGGGGGTCGAGTACCGGCCTTGAGGCTAGGGAGAGCGGCCGCTAAGAACTAAAAAAAAAAAAAAATTACGTAAATAATGAGCACAAGCATACACAAACATGAATGACTTAGCTGAGAGCAAAACACATACCCGGGTAAGGCATTGAGTGGCGTAACAAGAACGCTCGTAGTCGTTCCCCTCGACACGAGCCTTGTCGGCCTCAGGAAGCACGGAATGGAGGTAGTCTGCCACCTCATGCAGATCCGGGTGGTTCCAGAGCCGGGAAGGCATCCGAATCGTCACGTCCTTGTAAGTAACGGACGATTCCATTCGTTTAGACGTAGCATTCTCTTCGACCACCT